TTGATAGCAGAGGAGCGGATCCAGCGAGAGCTTGATGGGGCGACGCGGAATGAACAATTTTTTTTTAGGAGTCGTGGTAGTAGAGGCGGCGCAACTATAACGACATGTGAATAACCCCGCCCACTCTAAAGCGGTACTGAACTGCAGTGGAAACGCAAACCGTGCCGAGCCGAGTCGTACCACGCAGTGGAAAAGCGCCATTAGTCACAAGGTCTTTTTAATGCTTTCATTGTTAAATATTTATAAAACCCACAGAGAGATGTATAAGGTGACCGATAGTACTGTCGAAAAATATGGAGATACAAGGTTTTCGCCCAACATGATGTATATGTCCCTTATTTTCCTAAAAATAACCATGACTGTCCCTTCTTTTCCTTTTCTGAATTTGGCAGCCCTGTTACTTATAAGGCCCTTAATGGGTTAGCTCCTGCGTACCTAACCAGTCTTCTACCACGCTACAATCCATCACCCCCCCTAAGGTCGCAAAACTCTGGACTTTTGGTAGTACCTAGGATAGCAAAGTCCACTAAAGGAGGTAGAGCTTTTTCGCATTTGGCTCCCAAACTCTGGAATAGCCTTCCTGATAACGTTCGGGGTTCAGACACACTCTCTCTGTTTAAATCTAGATTAAAGACACATCTCTTTAGCCAAGCATTCACATAATGCATCTCATAACCTTGTATTCCAGTTAGGGCTGCACAATTAATTGCGATTGTCATGCACATTTTGTCGGTAAAGCCGGTTCTGTGATTAGTAGTAAATCTACATCACCTGCTTTCAGGTGGAGCAGCATTTACTACACAGAGCCGTAGTTCTCTGACAAGCTACGCAAAATCGCGTTCATAATCACAGACGATATAATCGTAGGATTATGAAATCGACGAAATCGTTTGCGATAATGACAGCTGTTTGCGTAGCTTGTCAGTGAACTACGGCTCTGTGTAGTAAATGCTGCTCCATCTGAGAGCACGTGAAAATACCACATTTAATAACATGTTTTTACTCCAAACTCACTTCATAACGTCAGTCGAGTGTTTGAAATAAATCCTTCTGTGAGATGATGTGGCTTCTTACACAGAATAATTAAGGCACACAATATTTCATAGTATTCTAAGCAGTGATAAAGGCTATGTCGATTAGCATTTCGTTATAGATATACTTTATTATGATGAAAATTATAATAAGACTAACTCAGATAAACCATATATTGCCGTAGTCGTGTGTTTATTAGTCACGTTGAATCGATAAAAGCAGTTAAATCTTCAGATGCAGCGATAGGGATTTCCTGGGTTTCTTCTTCGGGGCATATTTGTATTTTCCGCGTGAGAGCGCCCTCTGTCCTTCGGATGGAGATTTACTGCTGATCACAGAACCGTGCTTCACTGAAAGATACGCATGACAATAGCAGCTCAGTCGAGTGTTTGAAATAAATCCTTCTGTGAGATGATGTGGCTTCTTACACAGAATAATTAAGGCACACAATATTTCATAGTATTCTAAGCAGTGATAAAGGCTATGTCGATTAGCATTTCGTTATAGATATACTTTATTATGATGAAAATTATAATAAGACATCTTCACATCTTCACTCTCCTCTTTAATAAACGCCATTTTTATAATAGTGTCACGTGGATCTCACCTGCTTCACCAAGAGTTTTTCTGTCTGTTTGGACACGCTGTCATGATTAAAATGAGAATAATTAACAGAAAGAAACATAAATCCAAACTAAATCTCTGGTGCGTCTTAATCACACACACACACACATTAAAGAAAGGTCATATTTAAGTATTTATGTGGTATATCTGGTATTTAATCATTTGTAGATTGTGTGTAATAGATTCCACTTTCATGAAACTTTTGCAGTTGATTTGTAAGAGTTCTCGTTGCTCATGTTTGTTGTTCTCGTTGCATTCACACTGGTCTCCTCAGCGCGCGCTGATTCGATTCGAGCGCTCAATCGAAAAAGTGAATCGTTTCGCGAAGCATTCGATTCAATTGACTCGGAGTTTCAGAAAGCTCCGTTTCTCTCATCACTACTTTCCAGTGACCGACTTCGTGCTTACTATAAACTGATACACGATACAGGGAGCGAAATGAGACGCAGCGTGTTTGTTAATCGTGCAGATGTGCTTTACACACAAAAAATAACATTCATAATTGTTAGATGAGACATTGCAACGTTAGGTTCAGTGACTATCGATTCATTTTACATCGCTTGTAGAACCTATAACATTGCCTTGACCGTTTTATCGATTTAAAGACTAAAAAAAACACAAACCTTTCTTCTGCCGGAGCGCAGCGCAGCCTTGTGACGTCACATCACCAAACCAAAATAAAAGTCTTGTGTCTATATATTTACATGCAGAAAACACATCAATAACACGAGGTATTCAGAGTTTAGTTCGGGGAAATATATTAAGATACACATGTTGTCCAGTGAAGTGCTGAAAAAGCCAAAAGCCTGGAAACTATACTGACGCAAGCATTTTGTAATGATTATTACAGAAATAATGATAATGGAAAAGTAATAATACTATAAGGATGATAATACTATAACTGTAGATACAGGTAATTGCTTAAGTTTTAATAAATTAACTTAATACATGAGCCTCCCAAAAAGAAGGGTAAACAATATCTTGTTGCTAAGCTTATAACTAGTTTGACAGTACAGGTACAATAAAAGCCATTCTTTTAATTTTTATTTAAAACATTTTTTGGGACGTTTTCTTTACAAAATAATGCTTAATTATTTCTATTGTAGTTACTATCTCTGCTGAAAAAAACTGCTTAAATCAGCCTAAACTGGTTGGCTGGTCTTAGCTGGTTTAAGCTGGAAGTAGCTGGTTTTAG